GCATAATATTAAAGAAATTTCACTTAATTTTTGTGGTGTCTCTGGCACACAATAAAATGCCGCAGGTCGATGAGAGAAGCTGACATCAAGTTGCCAGCTGCTAAATAGTATTAAACTTCCGTAATATACCGGGGAAGCGCCTACCCCACTTTCATTAGAAACTGGGTTAATCTAGACTTGGGCATTTGAATAACGGTTAAGAGTTGAGTGTGTTGGTACATACTTGTAGATATATCAGATGAAATTCAAATACATACCTTGAAAGGATAGGAGTTGGACAAGCAGCTGACTACCAACGATGTTTTAGTTATTTAAAACCTTCTATTCTATACACAAGTTTACACTAAAATATCGTTAATAGTCAGCTGTTTGTCCTCTCCTGTCCTTTCTGAGTATTTTCTAAAGTTCAAACTGATATATTTCCAAAAATGGGCGCTTGCCCCGTCAAATCGGGCGATTAACATATTTTGCAGAATTACTAAATTAATAGTGGGCTCTATAATAAAGTAGGTTTCTCCGCGGTGTTTACCGGTGATTGGAAATTTTAAAAATTTAGAAAACAATTAAAAAAAAACGCCAAGAGGAAGCTCAGGAGCAAATGTGGTACAGGGCTTAGAGATGTGTGCTGCACAAAGTTACTGCATGTATTGGCCTAGCAGCTGACAGTACTCACAATATAAATAATGAAGCATTTAATATTTCTGATAGCATTGCTGAAATATACGTCAGCCTTTCATCAACACACCGGGAGTCCCCCCCCCCCCCCCCCCCCTCCAAGGCAGGTTTCCTCCTATAACTGTCATATTTTAGGTGCCTAGAAGCATAAACACTGGAAGACTAGTCAATACAGGCCGGTATTTCAGCTAACTCACGTTAGATTAATAAGTTCAAAGCCTAAAAAGCATTCTCTGTTGTTTTGGTTTGTTAATAAATGATTTTTTATTCAACCGTAAGCACGGTGTAAATGCATGGTAATTAATAGCAGCATAGTTTTGCTGACTATTGCTTATAATTGACCTGTCGGTAGACCATTATTAAAACGAAACCGTGAAGACTACGGGAACAAAAGGTACAAACACAAAACCGTACTGTGTTAATCTCCTCCTCCTTGCCTCTGCCATTCACATGTTTTTTTTTATAATACGTTTGCCAATTACTTTCTGTTTGGTATTTGTTTTTTGTGTAGGGGTTCACTACAATGACTTACGTACCATTGCATTCACTTTGGGGGCAAATCCAATTTCGCCATTGAGCCATCCATGAATAAGTGCAGGGTGGACGTCACTCTCACATACTTGTGGTGCAGTTAACCAAGCTTTTATAGGTTGCAAGCTGCCAGCCATGCTGAGTCAGGCCTGCCACCCCTGCGGGGAATGCCAATTGGACACTTGTAGGCGTAGGCACCCGTGAACGTGTACCTGAAACGTCCTACAGTGTGAAACATGGAGACGCCAGGCTCTTTAAATCGACCGGAAAATTAGGTTTCTTGACCTATCGCGCTGCGACTTCGTGCAGCGTTGCCCACTGATGGTGCATATTTTTTTGTAAAATTTGCAAAGAGCGAACTTACCTGAGGAAAAAAGAAAAAAGAAAAAGGCTTAACTCCTATGGAAACGCAGTGACGCCACCGGTCTGCAAACAACACGGCGCCGTTTCGCACGGGAGACAAGAGATGGCGCAAGCGGTCGCGACGCCAACTGCCGCCAACGAACGAGCAGACGACGCCAAGAGCCGGCGTATTTAGCAGACAAGGAACTGCAGTTCCTTGCTGTTACCGCGCCTGTTTTTGTTTCTGCGACTGTCGCCGCCTGCGGAACGCGCGCCGCTTTTGAGTCGAAAAGATTGTCTGCTAAAGACGCTGGCTCACGGCGCCATACGCTCGTTCGTTGGCGGCGTTCGTTGCGCCATCTCTTGTCTCCCGCGTGAAACGGCGCCGTGCTCTTTGAAGACCGGTGGCGTCGCTGCGTTTCCATAGGAGCTAAGACTTTTTCTTTCTTAACTTTTTCCTCAGGTAAGTTCGCTCTTTGCAAATTTTACCAAAAAAAAAAAAAAAAATACACCATCTGTGGGCAACGCTGCACAAAGTCGGAGCGCGATAGGTTAAAAGACCGAATTTTCCGGTCGATTTATACAGCCTGGCGCCTCCTTGTTTCACCCTTATTACACTGAGAAAACAAAATAATTGTTCCTCTTTGAATGCATTGATTTTTTTTTTTGCTGAAAACATATATACAAGCCTCACACTATTGTATATTCAGTGGTGTAGCTACATTAAGGATGAGCACTTTCGTATATAATCCTATACGTTTACACATAACCTGATATCACACAGAAATTAGAGCAGGGTAGGGGTGTACTGAATTAATTACGATTTTTTCACCAAACTAACAGTTGACATTTGTTAAATTCGGCAGAATAAATAACTGGGCCAGTTTGTACGTTGGTAGTCATTCAACTCCTTCAAATATTTAGGCTTGACATTGCGCACCAAAGTCAAACAGTTTGTGTTCTTTTTGCCTTCCCTGCTTTTCAAAGTGGCTTTCGCCGTCACTGAAAAACGTGACATCCAAACTCACCTTTTTTACACCACACGATCGTATCCTTGAAAAGCGTTCCGCTTCGGGGAACGCAAAGCCACCGCGTGTCTCTATGGCAGAGGTATATGCATAGGCAAGAAAGCATGCTGTTCGCTCCCGTAACGTTTTTCGCGTTTCCTCTTTATCAAAGAAATGGGCGGTGAGCGGCTGTCAGGACTACACGCAAGAACTAGCATGACTTGCGCTTAATTAAAACCTTGGGACGGCATCTGAATGCTTGAAGTACCGTCATACGGCTCTTGAATACTCCGAAGAAAGCGTCGTCACACGAGCGTCGTCGGATGACGGACAGAATAGAGGCCCACTAAAGCGCTGGATGTCGTGACTTATCTAAGCACCACCACCGATCTATAGTGCCGCCGGCGCTCCTATTGGATGCCGGCGGAGCGTCGCCACTTTTGGCTCATGGCGCATCCCACATCCAGGCGCGCACGTTCCTAGTGGTCTGTTGTGGCTGCCGGTGATGCGTCGCAGCTTGCGACCACGCTCCTATGCGGACCAGATGTTCGTGTGCTTCTTTTTGCAGGAGTTGTGGTGACGTCGTAACGCCAAGCTCCGATTGGTTTTGAATCAAAGATAGTGGATAGACCTCAAGGCAACCTGTTCTGAGGTCTACCCACTATCCTTCAACCAGAGCCAATCACAACTCGGTGCTCTGACGTCACCATAACCCCTACAAAAGAAGCAGACGAACTTGCGCTCCGCATTGGTCTGCTGTAGATACCGACGCCGCGCCTCTGCGACGAACTAGATTGGCGGCGACCCTCCCCCATTTTTGGCTCAAGTGCAGCGTAAACAAGCTTGGCGGTACTTATTTATAAAACCAATCCAGACCTTTAAGGCCCTCGGCAATTGAAGCGTGCCGTTTCTTCGTTTCTTGTGAATTTTTTTTACACAATTTCCAATGACTTATTACAGGCTCAGGTAATTTTCATCGCGTGTAGGAAACTCAGAGAACGGACGCCTTCGAGAAAATATGGGCAAACATGCGGGTTGCCATGGTATTGCCGTGGCAACTCAGTTACCTGCTCTATATTTTCAAGGCGCCGTCCACTGAGTCTGTGTCGAACAGGCGAGATTTGGAGCCAAACACTTGCCTGACCAGTCGGCGTGTAGCGGTGGTCCTCCACATCGCGCCGGGAGCGTCGCCTAGAGCGACTCGTCATAGCCCGGCTTTGGAAGGCGGGCGTGTCAGTCGTCGCACGCACAAACGCTGGGAACGGCACTGTGGGTTAAAAAAGCTGTCAAGCCCTGCTTCCAGTAGGTGTTCGTTTCCCTCCACCGCGATGGGAATGCGGGTTCTAATCGAAACTTCTTTTGGTGCGTCTAGCGTATCGAAAGCCAGCACCGACAGCGAGCAGACGAAGCAGACAGCAGGCATGGGGCAGACAGAGCAGATGTAGCGTAGGTTAGATTTAGGTTGGAAGTGAGTTCATGAGTGCCCAAGGCAGTCTGATTGGGTTCTTTTTCCGGCGTCGCTGCGCATGACGTCGTGCCGGGTCCGGCTATACTTAAATCTTCTTGCGGCCATAGAGTTATTATAATGCAAAACGTACGTTCGCACTTGTTCTCAAACATATTGAACGTGTTGGTGGCTTTTTGAACGTAGAACAAGCATCTTTGCAGGGCAGAAAGAACAAAGCACTACGTATTGAAAATCGGACTATATTAAATGGCCTTCAATTCATTTTGATCATACATGCACAGGGACCCGGTGTTACGGCGTATTTCTTGCCGTCTCTCTTAGGTTTCCAGATGTCCTTTGTTCGTTTGAGACGTACGTACATCCCCCATCCTGGAAAGCTCTGACGTCGTGTTCGCGCTAACGGTGTCCGACAGTGCACATAAATACTTGTACGAAGCCGTTTTAGCACCGTTTTTAATGTAATTAATTTTAAAGGAAATTGTTAGAACTGACTAATTATTTCGTCTATTCCGTATTTTGTATACCGAACAAATATACTCCGTATATTTGCTCTTATAATCGAGCGCCAGGAGATACCTTTCGCATACTTTTCGCTTCGATTCACAGACATTTTAAGGTTCAAACAGACCTAGAAAAATTCGAAAAGCTTATGCTAAAAGTCATATCGTAAAATCATTGCTTAGTACAAAACGTAAAGATTGCAGGAGCTTTCTCGCTAAATGCTGCTGGGATTATGTGGTTACGTAGGTCTTTGCAACTTCCCCTGGGTCCTATGTGCAGCGCATAAATTTCACATATTTTTTCAGACATTTCAAAGTTCAGAAAGCTAAGAGAATGAGAAATTTTCATTAGTGATGGGCCGAACTTTTGCCGAATCGAAAATTCGGTGCCGAATCTTGGGATTCGGCAAAGCCGAAATTTTGCCGAACTTTTTTAAAAATTCGGCAAAGATTCGGCAAAAATCCATTGTTGCCAGACTTAAAAGTGATATTTCGTTTTTTCTGACGAAAACTTTTTCAGTTTTTTTTTCTTAAACTTAAATGCAACGTATAATGCACATTGATACAGTTATTAGTAAATAAGGTGATATTCTACAAGATAATTGTGTCGGTGTCCTTTTTGTGTGTTTACTGGCTATTTAACAGCACTTCTTGCAGAAGTGGTGTGACAACGATGTTGAGTAGCGGCCGCAGCCACGACACGTGAGTTTCTGTTTTGATTCCTCATCAGCGCAAGGCAAGCCTGCAAGTGTCTATGCCAACGTTACGTCTGTGCATTGTTGTCGGTTAAAGGGAAATAAAGACGGTAACACTGTGTTCTTACTTTCTCTGCGAGTCACTGTTTCGCACGTGAAAATGAATGAACCGGCTGCTGAGCCAGCTGATCCTCCTCCAGAAGAGATAATATTATTGTAAGTTTGCATGTTTTTCGATTTGAGTCACTTGACGCCAGCTTTGCATGAAAGTGTGCGTTCCATATTCGCGACGTCTCGTTTTTAACTTTTAAAATACTGGTTTCTGATCTTAAAACACGCGGTCGTTTAACGAGATAATAAGAGTTAGGAATGTCGGATATGGAACGTCGTGCAGGTTTAGTTTTAGGTGGGTGAATGAAAACTGCGAAATAACGCTAATTAAAAAGCAATATACATAATATATATATATATATATATATATATATTGCTTTTTATATATATATATATATATATATTTGCACAAACAATTTGTGAGCCGAAAACAGGATTGCTATAATTGCGAGGAGTGCTTCAAACTACTGTAAGACATGTTGCAATTACCTCGTTGCATCACACAACAGAATTTATGTGCCAATGAAAATGTCAAAATCTCCTGAACATGGCATGTTCGGGTGCCCACGATGATTCGCTGGCTATTAAAGTGACCGTATAAATCAGCCTCATAAGGCATGACGGAATGCTTTATCAGAGAGGTGTCTGAACGTGGTGGAATCATTATTTGGAGGTATGATCAAAAGAAAAAAAAAAGTTTTGTTTTATGTCAAAATTGCCGCATTTTTTAAAATATTTTTAAAAAATTTGTCTTGGGCCATTCTGGCGTTTAATACGACTGAAAAACGGGTGGAATACAAAGGACACTAAATTGGCTTACATATATTATTCAATTAAATTCATTAGCCCGAAATAAGCTTCACAAAGGCACAAAATATTGTCTATGAGATTCTCACACAATGTTTATATCCTTATTTGGGTCAGCACCAAGCGATTTACAAACAGGACTGCAGATCCAATCATATTGCGTCTTAGATGTTTTGTTTGTGTATGTGCAAGCAAAATTATCGGTATGATATTTGTTTCTGTTTTACATCCACTCATTAACACATTGCCAGCTGAAATCAAAACAATACTTTGAGATTAATATCTCGTCTATTTTTACATTACAAGTGAAACTCCACGTGGTGTGATGCATGAATCACTGGAAGAGACAGCCCCCGAGCCAACTGCTCCCATGGACGAGGCTCAAGCTCCAGTCTATCTCATTGATCTGGAGGAGTTGGAAGGGCTCAACTTTTCCTTCCTTCAAGGTAAAATATGTCATAACCAAAACTTAGCAACCTACAACCGCCTGCAAAAAAAGGCAATCAATGTAGCACACCATCGTTTTTTCTCAAATATGTATTTTATTTGTCATAGCATCACCAGAAAAATAAAACAAAATGCTGAAAGCAAGCAATTAAAAATCCAATATTTGACACAGTTCCATCCAACTAAGTCAAATTGGATAATTGGTCGAGTTTTTTGGTGCCTGTAGATGCACTTTTCTGATTATAGGGGCACCATATATGGATGGGATGAGGTTGAATCGGGATCTGTGTAATTTATTATGCCAACATCACTTTTGGGCCAATAGCTATGTGATCCATAGTGAGAGAAAATATCAGTTCAGGTGTGCTGATTAAGGAACGCTTACAGAAGAATTTTTTTGATAATGCAATCAGGCAATCAATTAAAAAAAAAAGTTTTATTAGATTTGGGTTTTGAAAAAAACGTTCCAACACTCAGAACTACATGGAGCATGCAACTGAAAGTAAATGTTTTGTTTGTCCAGCTCAAGAGCTAGAAAGGCAAGGCTGCTACGTGATTCAGAAGAGTGCTGCAGCTACAAGTGACAAATCATCTGCCAGCACAAGCGCCTCTACCAGTACAAGCGGTGTTCCTCTTATAAGCGATGCTCCTGCAGGTTCCGCCATTCTCACCGTTGCGTCTAGAGGGAACCTTCAACCCAGCCACGAAAAGAATGCGACAGGACCTCCGCTTCAAACTTCTAAGCAACAAAAGACGGTTTCTACCATATGGGCTCATTTTGAAAGGTGCACCAAAGATAAGCTGGCAGCTACCTGTTGCTACTGCCGAAGGAAGGTACGTGTTGGAAAACCAGGAGGCGACACTCGCACGACGGGGACCACAGCACTGCACAACCATATGAAGCGTAACCACGCACATCTAGTTACAAATCCAAGGGAAGCAGCAGCAAAGGAAAAAAGCTCACTAATTCAACAGAGTGCACCCGAGTCAAAAAACCAGAAGAAAGTGCAACCGACACTCCAGGAAGCACTAGACCGGAAGAAGGCCTGGGAGCCCACTGATGCGCAGGCACTGCTGCACTGCCAAAAGCTGGCAGAATTTCTGGCTGTCAGCATGAAGCCATTCTCTATGGTGGAAGACCCAGCATTCCTCAGGTTCATGCACTACTGTGTGCCCAAATGGAAGATTCCTGGGAGGAAACACTTTGCTTCCTCTGTTGTTCCTGCTCTCGAAGCAGCCATTCGTGAGGCCCTCAAGAAAGAGCTCAAACTCAGCATTGGGGGAATAGTGCATCTGACCACCGACATCTGGTCAAGCCGGCAAGTGACGGACTACATGTCTGTCACAGCTCACTGGATGATCCAGGATCAGCAGGGATGCCTGTCCAGACGGAAGGCAGTCATGGACATGGCAAGTTTCGGCCAAACGCACACGGCTGAGAATATAGCCGAAAAGTTGGACTCCGTCGTGAAACGCTGGCTGCCACCTCTGGACTTAGAACCAGGTTATGTGACCACGGACAACGCTCAGAATGTTGTCAGAGCATTAAGAGATGTCAACATGAAGCGAATTCCGTGCATGGCACACTGTCTCAACCTCGTTGTGAAAGGAGGCCTATCGAAGGCTGGACCAGCTGTGGAAGATGCTTTAAAGACTTCCCGGGCCATCTGTGGACATTTTCACCATTCGGCTACAAAAATGTCAAAGCTCGCAGAGGTACAGCGCCGGCAAAACTTGCCCCAGCACCAGCTGCTACAAGACGTGCCAACTCGCTGGAACAGCACCTTGCATATGGTAGAACGACTGTGTGAGCAACGACGTGCGGTGACAGAGTTCTTTGAAGACAGCAGCAAGCACCACCTCACTCCAGAACAGTGGATGCTTTTGAAGACCCTGATAACTGTGCTGCGACCATTTGAGGAGGCGACCCTCCTGGTGTGCATGGATGATGCCACATTAGGTCAAGTGCTGCCTCTGCTCAAGTTCATTGAACGGAGCCTTGAACGGATGGCCAGCCGTGAAGGGGCAGCGGGTACTGCACAGCTTGCTGCCAGCCTGCTAACTGCATTGCACAGCAACAGGCATCTGAACAGCATCAAGGAAGACATTGTGTACTGGGCTGCAAGCTTCTTAGATCCAAGGTTCAGGAACACATTTGGCAACTACACTGAAGACCAGGCCGCTTTAAAACTGAAAAGGACGCAGGAGCACCTTATTCGCCAGATTGAGGAGACCATGGATGCTAAAGATGACTGCATCACAACAGAAACCTCGTCGCAAATGTCAGCGCAACCGTGCAGTACATCGGTTCAAACAGTGACCCCACCTCCAGCTGGAGAATTCAGCCTGTGGTTTTCCAGCTCCGACGAGATGGGACTGACCCAGTCACAAGTGCGGCCAGGGCATGCACCACCCCAGCCATCCTTAGCTGCAAAGGTTGAGCTGGACGCATATGCCCAGGACAGAGAAGCTGACAGCTATGGAGTGCAGAGTGACCCATTGCAATATTGGGCAACAAAGAAAAACCAGTGGCCTTCTCTTTTCGTAACTGCAGTCAAGCACCTGGCATGCCCCCCAACCAGTGTTTACTCTGAGCAGGCATTCAGTGCAGCAGGCATGATTGTAACCGAGAGGAGGAACCGTCTAAGCACGAAAAATGTTAGCATGCTGGCATTCATTCGGATGAACAGGGCTTGGATCGACAAGACAGCATCCCCAATTACTTCGATGCTGGAGCAAGATCTGGTCAGCTCAGAATCAGATGACGAGGACGAAGAGCCACTTCTTAAGAGAGTTCACTTTGAAGATACTTAGTGCTTGATGCCAAGATCTCCATATGTTTATGTTCACAAATAATGGGACCCATTATATTGTGCTATCAATTCGTTGGAGCACATGAATCCGTATACTTCACTAGGGATATTGTACTTTCCACAAAGATGTGTCTAGGTGGTGGATGTGCTACAAGTAAAGCTAAGAATGATTATATTTCTATAGACAGCAGTCAATTATAGCAAACTGATGTTAGCCCTGACTGTAGGATTAATTTTGGTAAGTTGGTGTCGCAGAATGTCAGTGAGTAATGAAAGTGCACGGAAGCCAAAGCAATGTGTGTTTCTTAAATAGTATAGGTTTTTGTAAAAAAGTAAGGTGTCAACGGCATGAATCACATTTTCTGCCTAACAAGAAAAAGGCTTATCATGGTGCACAGCTGTAGATAAAAAAATGCTTAATTTCCACAACTTCAGGGATGCATATATCCACCACTCAGTTACGTCTTTGCAGAAAATAAGTCCCAAAGTGAAGCAGCATATTTTTCTGTGGTTTATTGAATGGGTGGCACAATATAATGAATAACCCTGTACAAAACATTTTTGTTACGTTTTCACATCTAGTCCCACTATTTGCAGTGTTCCTATAGTTATGTTTTAAAGGAGGACACAGCGTGCTCTAGTCCTCACACTTGCGACGCAAGTTTTTGTTGGTTGTTTTATCTAGTCATTGTGTCTTGCCTTAGTTTTCTGAATTATATTTTATAAAGCCATATTCTAAGGACATCATTATTTTGTTTCGCTTCAGGTACAAGTGAATATATGCTTCAAATGCTCAGGTTATTTTACAACATTGGAGATAAAATCGTCCTCCTCAAGCAAGGATATACCATACAGAATTCTGATGTATCTTACTGACACCTTTATTCCAAAATGAGGGGACTCATAACAAGGGCGGATCTTCCAACATTGGCACATTATTTGTTGTTGTCGCCACATCGTGCAGTGCTCTCTATGCTCCGTTCCATAATCTACAATGTTGTCAAAGCTAGAGGCGCAAGCGAGCTGTTTTTTCACGTTGTGTGCAGGGCTATCAAAGGTAGAATACGGGCTTGAAAGCATAGCCATGCTTGGTTTGCGCTGACGCACACAGAGCGCTTTCGAAAACCACGAGCTTGCGCTCACGTTGTTGTGAGCATTGAAAACGCAGAACCGACGCGCTTGCGCTACAAGTTTTGACAGGGTTGTGGATTAAGTATGGCACTGAGTACAGAGAACACGAAATCAAACCCGAAATACATTAAAACGGCCCTTCACGCTCCGCCTCGTACACATCACTGGGAAGATAGAATGGAAATCACGTTATCCGGAATGTAGCGCATCATTTGTCACTTGGGCAGTCGACTGCGTCAATTCCCGGTCGATCTTCAGTTCTTGAGGAAGAACATATTGAAGAGAGCCACACTCACGAAGGCTGAAAAACACAATGTCGCCTACTGCGCACCTTGCCGTAACACCTAGTACTACACTGTACGAGTATGACGATGGTAGGAAACCGCACAACCGCACGGCGTCCATTTGCAATCCATGGCTTCGTCTGGTGCCATCACTGCCATCACTACAGCGCACCGTTGTTCTCGCGCCTGCACAGATGTTTGCCGAATTTTTGCCGAATTTTTGCCGAACTTTCCACCAAAAGTTCGGCAAGTGCCGAACTTTGCCGAATCTGAAGTTCGGCAGATTCGGTCCATCACTAATTTTCATGCCGAAAGCAGTAAAAGCTCTACCGATCCTCGGACACATCTGGGAATCCGAGCTCCGCTACGGCAATACCATTCATTTGGTGTCAGATGTGCCATTATCCAGACCGATCTTGTGCAAAGAAGATATAAAGTATCATTCCTTCAGATCTTCACGTTATACCCGAGTCAGAAAGCACGTAGAAGCAAGAAATTGTCGGAAAGCAGTAACATATCGCGACTACCGCGCACCGAACAAACTCGCATCCACCAGCCTTGGGCGCTGCTATCTTACCTGTGACGCCACGGCTCTTCTGAACTCACGTGACGAGTAGTCACTTATACGTAGAACATGGCGGAAACCGAAGGGGTACCACTATTAAATTTCCGGTTTATAACCCTAAGCCCCTATACCTAGTTGTGATAATTCTATACTTGCGCCAACCTTTCTTGCGCCAAACGCAGGGGGGTAAAGGTGGGTGAGGAGGAGTGGCAAATCCCGTGCGCCGACACCCGGGGTCCCGAGTGAACGATCGCAAAAGAGAGCGACAGAACACGAGAGAAAGAAAGCCACGTTGCCATGGTAAACGCGAAGAGGGAAAACTCTCAGCAATACAAACAGTGATAATTTAACGTTGTGAACTAAATTCTGAGCAATTCTAACGCTTATAAAAAGCAATAAAGTCATCACGCTGCATTAACTTTCCTTCTGTCGAAATCTCGGAAATCTGGTGGTTGCGCAGTTTCGTATTCCTCAACCGCGCCCACCCGCGCCCCACCGGCGAAGCCGGGTATATGGTTCTGTTTAGCGTTAACGCAAGGCCGTACATCTGCGCGCTATGCAAAAAGAAAGCTTCGAAAGGAACGCGAATATCTATCCACCGGTAAGTTCGTGGATTGTTGAAGTTCACGAAACTGCTCTGATGATGTAACCGTGTTTGGGACCCCGAGGGTCTGCCTGCATGATCCGCCGCTTGCGGCAGCCAGAATGTATGGGAAAATGGCGGACCTTTTCCTCTAGAGTTAGTATGTATGATCTCTATGGCTAAACGGGAGAGATGGCAATGACGATGAACCTGCGCAGTCTTCAAGAGTCTTCTCTTCTTGCTTTAAATTTTGAAAGCAAAACTAAGCAAACCACACTTACAGTAATAATACTAATGTCACCATAAAAACAACGTGAAGGATAAAGCAGAAATAGTTAATTTGATGTTTTACGTATACTTTGAAATAAAAGTTTTTGGGTTTTCATTTTCTGTGTCAGACCAGAACCAAAACTATCTTGATCTACATTTACTTGGTCGTATTTGAGTGCGTGCGAGCATTCCCGTGTGGTGTGAGCATGTGGACTCGTCAGAGTGCGTGAGTACGTGGGCGTGTGCGTTTGCGTACGTGCGTACGCCCGTCCACGCGCGTTTGTGTAAGCGTGTTTGTGTGTGCGCGCGCAAGCTTGGGTGTTTCTGCTTTTAATTGAACTGTGCCAGCATGAAAACAAGTTACATTTTCCTGGACTCGAAAAAATCGAAATCGATTTACTCATAGTATTATTAATATTATTAATATTGGCATCCAAATCATTGAATATCGGTGCTTTCGTTGTAAAGTATAATTCCGTGTTCGCTCTTATGTCGATTAACGGAAAATCGGTAAAAGACCTTGAGAGCAAAGTCCACAAAATCAGAGGTGCAATGATGGATCAATCCCAGGAAATCTCCCGGCTGAGGGAATAATTAATTAAAGCTCCCCGAAAGGACCTGGCTAAGGTCATAGAAAATCTTTCACAAAACCTAGACCATCCATCGTTTAAGGCCTCCGTTATCCTCGCAATTCATCACCTTCCAAACAAAAAACGAGACACCGCTTCGCCAATGCTAATTGATTTTACTTCTGTCAGACACAGGGATATTTGGGTGACTGCGCGAGGCAGATTGGAGCAGCTCTCTCGCTCTGATAACAAGGCAAGGTCATTTATAACGAAAAGGTAGCAAAAGCAAACCGAGAACTCTTCTGGCTCGCAAATACTCAGGGCCGGGAAGCTTGACGCGAGTTTCTGTGGCCCAAGAACATGAAAATATACGTCAGGAAAAACGTGGATTTTCCGGCGTTGCGCATTGATTCAAGTGCAGACCTCGAGTGGCTTGTTTAAAGAATGACAAGCCGTTTCTTTTTTTCAGTTTCCAACCGTTGCGCTTTCCACATGGTTTTGGGTCGTATCTTTGATTTGTCTGTTACAATTATTCATATAAACATAAGAACCCTACGCAAACACTGGAACGAGTTCCTAGTTGTTATATTCGACTGCGGTCCTCGAGTGCATGTGTTCGTTCTCACCGAAATTAATATACCATCTTTTCAATTCTATTAGCTTATCCCAAACGGTTATACGGAACTGTTTCACAGGCGTGGTAGTGGCGGAGGGGGAGGTAAAGCAATATATGTCAAAGACAAATGGTTGGTTTTAAGCTGGAGTGTGCCTTTCTTTCATGCTGAGTCTTTGGCTCTTAATATTTACCGATCTCGTTTTTTTGTTTTTGTTTTCTTACTTGCGCTATATAGTTTTTTTTTCTTTTTTTAAAGACGCTTCACTTTTTCTAGCAGACTTAGAAGTGGTGCTCCGGCAGCTCGGTTTGAACGAAATTCTTTGCATGATTGGCGATATAAAGCGTAGACACTATTAAAGAAATGAAATCTGTAGTTTGAGATTATTAAGTTCTCAACTCTAATATCGGAGAATATATTGAAAAATACCATCAACAGCTCTACCAGAGAGGAGCTGTTGTCTGGAAATTCAGTATCCTTCTGTATAGATCGTGTAAACGTTCGGGCTCACGATATCACAGTAATATATGCTGTAATATGTCAAAAAGTATCTGACCACTACTTTCTGGAATGTCGTTTAGACGCAGTTTCGCAGTAAAAGGGCAGACGTTATTTCTCGTGTGTCTTTATAAGCAATATAATAAAATTTATCGAAACGGTTAATTCTTTTGATTGGGACACATTTGTTAGTTCTGTTCAGCCGGCGCATGTTTATGTTGCGTTTGTTCAGGTTCTTAAGTCTTTATACCGAGAATCGAGGAAGGAGCCGAAATTTAGGAAACGGTCGGATAAACTCTGGTTTAACAATGACATCGTAATTGCAATCAAATCTAAGGAAATGTTATGGTTACAATGCCGCCGTGCTCCAAACAATCCATAGTTGCGAGCAGAATGTCGCTGTGGCAGAAACAAAGCCAACGCCATAATTCGATCCGCTAAACTTAGCTAATTTCAGAGGAAGTTTCTTTTTTAGACAATATTGAATTCGCAGAAAATATGGCGGTTGATTAACACCTTTAGAGGGCCAGCATCTAGACAACCTATCGATGATTCTCCCCAAAAGCATTTTGGCTCGGACT